TAAACGAAGATATTGGCTTCCAAAGTTTCAACTTTCAAAAGGTAATAATAATTTTTCCGACTTACGTAAAATTTTTCTTTTTACGGAAAAAAGGTCAGCTTGAAAGGTTCTTCCGCTCGTCTGATTTTCAGAGTCCTGGCTTGCCTCCTTCCCGTTTCGTCACCACGTGGGAAATTGGGAAAAAGTGTCCCCCTACTTCAGGGGCGCGCGTCCGGGTGGTTCTGACGGCTGGAGCGTCTGGGGGCACCCTTGGCCCACCTCCTGACACTTTCCTCACTCAGAACACTTCACTTTTCACTTAGTTATTCGCAAAACACTAAAAAATTTTTTACAAAATAACCTCAAAAACAAGGTTTTTCACTTTTCCTCCTTCGGGGGCTCGTACGACGACACTACACTGTAATCCAGCGGATGGGTCGCGACGAGACGAAACTCCCGACACCAAACTTGTTACGATATCTGAAGAAAAACCCACTGAAACGAATTTTCAAAGCGGGAGCGGGTGTAAAAAGCACGTGTTTTCGGACGTGGCGCGATTCGTACTGGTTAGGTTAGGTTTTTTTTTTTTTTTTTTTTTTTTTTTTTTTTTATGTCTGTTTCTCCTCCAACATAATCGGAGACCTTGTTCATTCCAAGAGATGATTTTACAACATTAAACATTAAATTAAGTATAACTATCAGACTATAAATTGCTATTTATGCTATTTTGCTATGCTATTTTGAGTGCCGTACTTATCATGTATGGTTACAAGATACCTTACAGGACAAATGCTTGTACAAATGTACCACAGCAATTCACAAAGGACTCCCATTCTTACAGAGGGATCACCTATATATCTACTTATTTTATATCTAATACTACAGCTTATTTTTAACTTATCGCTAACAGTTTTGTGGCTTTGTTTCCAGCTTTACATTTTACTAATTTTGTTCTTATTCTATGTTTATATGCTATCCAGTATATTCTCAGAATATAGTTTTAGCATACTTTCTTATAACTATTTTGTTAATTTATAGCTAAGACTTTTATCGTCGCTGACGTTGACCAGCCTACGACTAAATTGGCTTCCTTTAGCACTAAAGTTCGTCCAATTTATTGGTTCCACTGTTTCGGATGTGTGTGTAGCGCTGTTAAGTTTCTGTGTGAACCCTGTGCACAGATGGGTGTCCGACGTGCTCGGTTCTATGGCGTTGTCGGTCTGTGGGGCGCCAGCGGCGACTTCAGCAATAGGCTACGGCCGACCTCGCTAGCGCATCCCACTTTTTTCTGACTGGGCACTGTTCGCTGAAAACTCCGTGAGCGGTATCTATTAGTTTCGCCTTCATGCAGTTCCGGCATGTCGGCGCTTGAGCTGCCCGGTGTTCTTCACACTCCGTTTTAAGGTGTGGGCCTCCGCAGTGATTGCAGAGGTCCACGGCCTCTGTACACAATTTACGCCCGTGTCCGTATGCCAAACACTTGGTGCATTGTATCAGGGGGGTCTGGTCCTCTACGCGGATTCGTTGAAGGTCCACGTACACCCTGCCGACCGACAGCAGTCTCTGGTACAGCACGGGCGTCACCCTGAGCACCAGGTGGCACTCATGCTGGTTCCGCGCCCTGCGCCTGTATAGGACTTCAGCTTGGCTGATGTCGGCAGCCAGGTCCCCCAATGAATTATTCTGCTTATGAAGGGCGGCCTTTATCTCCTCATTGGTGTTATACGCGAGGAGATTTTTGAGAACAATTAGTGGATTTTTGTTTTTTGCCTCTTCATAAGCAATCTTGGCGTTCTTCTTAAGTCTGGCCTCCACCTTGTCCAGCTCCGTTCTGGTGGAGCAACTGAGGATGACCTTCCCGTCCCGTATCTTCCTCAGCTTCTCCACCCGAATGCCGCTCTTCTTGGCGTCCAGCGCCCCCCTTATGTGGTCCACCACTTCGCCTGAGGTATCCATAGCCTCGGTGGACGAGATGATCAGGGAGTGGGTGGGTTTTTGTTCCCACATTGGCTTTTGCTGCCTGACCGCTTCCGCGTAAGTGGGAGAGACTCCAGATACGAGGCCCTGTATCTGGAGGCCCTCCACTGCGGTCTTTATCTCTCTTAGCTCTCCCATGAGTTCGGTGTCTTCTCTCGCCAGTGAGGTGCTGGGTCTTGAAGCTTCTAGTTCATCCTTCACCTGGCGAGGTATCTTCTCCACCTGCTTGTCCAGCTTCTCGCTGAACGCACCAAACGTGTCGTTCACGAAGCGTTCGGTCTGCACGGCACTATCGTGAACTACCTCGGTTAGCCGCTTACATGTCTCCTCGAGGTAGCTGTCCTTCTCCATCCTCGTGGTTGTGTTTATTACCTCCACTCCTTCGTCGATCCTCTCAATCATTTCCGCCTCCAGTTTTCGGAATCTTTTTTCGAGGTTCTCTTCTATTCTTTGAAGGAGTGTGTTGTTTGTTGAGACTGTCTCGGATATAGAGTACAGCTCTTCTTGTATTTTCTGGGTCGTTTCTTCTCCCCTCTCTGCCGGCTCGGTGTGTAGTTCTTTTGCACCCTTGGCTGGTCCTTCAGGTTTCCTGTCGCCCTCTTTGACCAGCTCATAGAGCCTCCCGATCGCTGCGGTTACATTGACTTTTATGTCGCCGCGAATGTTTCTTGATTCCGTCAGGAGTGACTTGGCCCTGACCACAATGGCCTTGGCCTCGGCACTCCTGGTTGCGTAGTGTCTTGTTGTTTTTGTTGTGGCAGCTGGCGGCGATCGGGGTTTCGCCTCGGTTGAGGGAGCAGCCTTGGGTTTTGCCCCCATCTTTTTCTGGGGGCCAGAAGGCCTTGTAGTCGGAGAACCGGTAGGAGATTTCCTCGGTGCCAGTCTGGCGTCCTCACATTCTTCTATGTTAAGCCTCATCTTGGAGAGTAGCATCGTCGGCTCCAAGGTTGGGGCTATTGCCATCTCCGGGCTCTCGGCCCAGGGGGAGTCTTCCGCAGCCTTTTTGGCTGGTGTCCTCACTGTGGCCATGGTGTACCTTGGCGTGTGCTGTGTTGTAGATGGACACGACACGCCAGAGAGAGTATTTCCTTAATCTAGGCTGGTCAAGTCTAGCGTTCAAAGGACAATACAACAAAACAGCTTATAACTAAAGACAGTAACAAGATATAAAGCTAGGTCAGTATATAATTAAACTAAGGTACAGTCGGTCTCTCTGCTCAACAGAGAGGTCAGACAAATTAGGGATGTATAGTCCCTAGTCCTTATTCTAAAACACAAGTCAGAACAAATAAGATTAAAGTAAATGTAAAATAAAATAGAATATTTACACTTCTGTAGTGTGTCAAAAGTCGAGGTTGATGTATTTACAAGTTGTCAAAGTCTCTGCACTGCAGAGAGGTCATATGTTACAGGGATGTAAAGGTCTCTGGTCCTAGCACTAGAAACAGGGTCAAAATTTAATCGAAAAATTTAAAATACAAGTAAGTAAAATCAAATAAAATAAATTTACAAATATACAATTTCTGTAGGGCCCAGAAGATTGCCCTTCCCCGACCGGTTCCAACGAACCCAAACACGGGGGGTCTGGGCCTTCTACAAGAAAATTTAGGATTGGGAAGGTGAGGGGGGGGGGATTGCTGAGAGGGGGGATTCTGGTGGGGCCAAGTTACTAGGCCCCCCGGGCCGGTTCAGATGAGCCCAAACACGGGGGGTCCAGGTGTCCCACAGCCGGAGTTAGGTTTTGAGGGGGTGAGGTAAGGAGGGGGAAGGGATTTTGTTCGAAGAAGGTTGGGGGGGGATTTGGGCTGCGGAAAGGGGCTGGTGGGGTGGGGGGAGATTCTGACGGGGCCAAACTGTTGGGCTCCCCCTGTTGATTCAAATGAACCCAAACACGGGGGGTCCAACTGTCAGACAGCCGGGATTAGGACGTGAGGGGGTGAGGTAAAGGTAAGGAGGGGGGAGGGGATTTCGTAGGAAGAAGGTTGGGGGGGGAAGAAAAACTGGAGGGGACAAACTGTTGGGCTCCCCCTGCCGGTTCAGATGAACCCAAACACGGGGGGTCCAAGTGGTTTACAGCCTAAGTTAGGGTTGGAGGGGGTGAGGTAAGGAGGTGGGAGGGGGGTCGTTCGTATGGAGAGGATAGGGGAGGGGGCTAATAGGGGGGGGCTAAGGGGGCAAGGGAGAGGGGGATTGCCCGGTCCTAAAACTATTTAAATCAACTTAAAATTAAACTTATAAATTAAAAAAATGATATAAATTAAAAATTTAATCGATTAACTAGTGATTGATTAAACGGGCGAACAAAATTCAACGTTTAATTTATCCTACAAATTAAAATTAAACGTTTAATTTTTCTTACAAATTAAAATTTAACGTTTAATTCAACCCTCAAATTAAAATTTAACGTTTAATTTATCGTTCTGTCGACTATATGAGAACCCCGTGTGATCCCTTAAAATAAAAGTTTTAAAGTTTGTTTATAGACTTTGGGGGTCTATAACTCGGTGGTTTCCCAACCTAAAATTCCGTGTGAGGTGTCACGGGATAGGGTTTTTAGCCCTCTTTCGTTAGCACTTCCTAAAAAATTTTTTAGGGGTGGGTTTCACCCTTAAAAAGTGTCTGGAATATAGTCGAAATTTTTAAAAAGTTTTTAGTCTATAAGTTTTGAACCACTCTACTTACAGTTTTTATCGAGACGGTTCCTGGTTCCTTGCACTGTCCCGCACAGAACACACTGTCACAAATTATCCTACAGGACCGGGATCAGGGACCTCGTGGCACGTGGTTTCCGGAAAAAACGTAATATCCTCTCCGGGAAACGCCGCAAAAATCCGAGAGGGGGCTCAAAAGATGGGCCTCCCCGAGCCGCATCCCTCCCACAGGATAATAAACGGGGGTCGTCGATCCCGTTCCCGAGTTATAGCAATTTTAAAGTCAGTTGAAATTTTTTAAAATGTTTTTGGTCTCTAGTGTCCCTAAATATGGTCCAATTTCCACATAAAAATCACTCGCGTGTTCGTCACTGCAATCCTCACAATATGGGGTATGTCACTTGTCTCTGGAGCGTCTGGATCAGGGACCTGGCGGTTCCCTGATTTCCGAAAATAGTCGATTACTCCCCCCGCCTTCGTCGTAAAAATATGAGAGGGGGCTCACAAGATAGGTCTCCCCGAGTTGCACCCTCCCACAGTAAAAAAGTTGGGGGTCGTCGATCTATTTCCGGAGTTAATCGCGAAAAACACAATCACAAAACTGAAAATTCAACAAAAAGTTGAATATCTTCCACAATTTTAAACCGATCGCGGCGCGGTTTTCACCGTTGAGTAGGTCTCGCGACGGCGGAACTTTTGGTGTATAACACTATACACTTTTCACGATTTATACCACCAAAATGATTTTTAAGGCCCGGAGCGTGTCAAAAGCGTGGCGCTCTCGGTCACAGTTCGCACGGGACTGGGTTAGGTTAGGTTAGGTTAGGTTAGGTTAGGTTAGGTTTTTTTTTTTTTTTTTTTTTTTTTTTTTTTTTTTTAATGGCTTGTTCTCCTCCAACATAATCGGAGACCTTTAGTGACTTTAATGATGATTACGTAACTGTTATATGTTACTGTATGATCTGTACATATTCGGCTGGATGGCAAGATGTTAACCTGCTACTTAGACTACATTACAAAAAATTACTGCTATTATATTAGCTACTATATTATATAAAATAGTACTTAACCACTATGTTCGTTAACTAATTTGGCACTACTATTTCTATTAACTAACTAATTAATTATGGCTTACTATTTGACTTACTTTATGTTTATACACTACTTTTTCTTATGCTTATTTGTATATTATACATAATATAAATTAAGCATAGTTTTAATATCTATTTTTTACATACATTTTATACCTACAGAACAAAATTTCAGCACTGACGTTCACCACCCTACGCTTCAATTGGCTTACTTTCAAATGAAAGCAAGACCAATTCGTTGGGATTATGTTCTCGACTGTTTGTTTATGTTTTTTATGCCTGTGTCCTTTAGTGTGCCCTTTGTAGAGGTCTGAAGTGGTCAGCTCGGTGGTGTTGTCTTCGCGTGGGGCGCCCGCGGCAACGTCAGCAATACGCCACGGCTGCCCTCGCAAGCGCGTCCCACTTCTTCCGGACGGGGCACTGGTCACTATATACGCCGTGAGCGGTATCGCCTTGCTTCGCCTTCAGGCAGTTTCTGCAGGTCGGGGCTTGTGCTGCCAAAAACTGCTCACATTCCGCTTTTTTGTGGGGGCCTCCACAGTGGTTGCACAGGTCAACAGTTTCCGTGCATAGTTTGCGTCCGTGCCCATAGGCGAGGCACCTAGTGCACTGCACTAGCGGTGTTTGGTCCTCAACCCGGACGCGCTGCAGGTCGATGTATACCCTGCCGACCGACACCAGCCTTTGATACAGCGCGGGCGACACTTTGAGCACCATGTGGCACTCGTGCTGGTTACGTGCCCTGCGCCTGTATATGACTTCGGCTTGGCTGATGTCGGTCGCCAGGTCCCCCAATGCCTTTTCATTTTGTTTTAAGATGGCGGCTTTCACTTCCTCGTTGGTGTTGAAAGATAGTAAGTTTTTGAGGACCACCAACGGGCTCTTGTTTTTTGCCTCCTCATAGGCAATATTTGCGCTCTTTTTTAGGTGCTCCTCAACCCTGTCCAGCTCCATTTTGGTGGAGCAACTGAGGATGACCTTCCCGCCACGGATCTTCCTCAGTTTCTCCACCCGAACACCGCTCTTTTTGGCGTCCAGCGCCCCCCTAATATGTTGGACCACCTCGCCCGAGGTGTCCATTTCGTCCGTGGAGGAGACTATGAGGGAGTGCGTTGGCTTGTGCTCCCACGGTGTTGCTGGTTGTTTCCGTACCGCATCCGCGTAGGAGGGAGAGGCTCCAGCCACGAGGTCTCGTATCTGGAGGCCCTCTACTGCGGTTTTCATCCCACGCAGCTCCTCCACAATCTCCGCATCCCCGTCCACGGACGTGATGCGGGAGCTCAGGACCTCGACTTTTTCATGAACGTAGTTCTTGACCTGCGCTGCACTATCGCTCACCACCTGGGTTATCCTCCTACAGGTTTCTTCGGTAGCCATATTGGTGGTTGTGTTTGTAACCTCTGTACTTTCTTCTATCCTTTCTTTTAACTTGTTTTCCAATTTTTTAAACCTTTGTTGGAGGCTTTCTTCTATTTCCTGCAAGAACGCTTTATTAGTACAGACGGTCTCCGATATGGAGTCCATTTTTTCGGTTAATTTGTAAATTCTGTCCTCCCTTTCCTCGGTCGGCTCGCTTTGCGGTTCTGCCCTTTCTTCCGCCGGTCTCTTTTCCGTTTTTTCCCCCTCCTTAACCAATTCGTATAGTCTCCCGATCGCCGCAGTCACGTCAACTTTGATGTCGCCTCGGATATTTCTGGATTGTGTTAGGAGTGATTTGGCCCTGACCACAATGGCCTTGGCCTCCGCACTCCTTGAGGCGTAATGTTTTTTAGCTGCTTTGGCGATCGGCGGCGACCAGGTTTGCGCCTCTGATGACGTTCGGCGCGTGAGTACTTTGGTCTCGTTTAAGGAGGAGGGGACCACTCTTGGTTTTGCCGCCGTCTTTGTCGGGGGGCCAGAGGGCCGTATGATCGGCGATTTGGTGGGCGATCTCCTCGGCGCTGGTTTGCCGCCCTCCCATTCGCCGATGCTGCGCCTCACATTGGAGGTCAGCGCCGGCGGCGCCGAAGGTCCCGCCCTGGTAAACTCCGGGCTCTCGGCTCCAGGAGAGGCTTCTACAGCCTTTTTTGCTGGTGTCCTTATACAGGACATGGTGGTTTTCTGTTGTGTGTGCGGTGTGTTGTATAAGGACCACCGACGCACACGAGAAGGGTTGTTCCGCCGGTATAGGCTTGTCAGGTCTATAATAATAGACAGAACAACTGCAAAAGCAGAGTGAAAATAGAAAGAACAAATAAACAATTCAAAATAAAAAGTCTAAATCAAAATAGCAAAGCAATGAACTACAAGTCGATATCTCTGCGCAGCAGAGAGGTCATATGGGGTAGGGATGTATGGTCCCTAGTCCTAATCCTAAAACAAAAGTCAAATCAAAATAAAATAGTAAAAATAAAAATAAAACTAAAATTAGCAGTTACCAGTAACACTCTGTCTAAGCTAGGGGATGTGACGTCCCTGTCCCAAAACTATCTAAAATAAACTAAACTAACTAAAAATATAAAAAAATATTATAAAAATATTTTGCTCCCCTGCTTTCACCCAGGTGTTTGGCTCCCCTGCCACAGAATTTACCACCCTGATCGACTTTGGGAGGGTGGGCGGGCAATTTTTTAATTTTCTACCGAACGGATTTTAACAAACGAGGTGTCGGGTGATAGGGCTAGACGAGCCCTATCCGAATATGTAATAATTTGGAAAAACAAACGAGGGGTTGCCAAATTATAAGCCGAAAACGTGTAAATTTAACAAAATTTTACACCGAAAACTATCTCCGAAAACTATCTTTCACAGGTGATAGGTCTCCGACGGGACGCCGGAGGTGCTTCAGGCGGTGGTGGTATGCAGGGGAGGTGTCAACGCAGCGATGGTGTAAGCTTCCAGCACCAAAACGACCAGGAACACAGGTAGGTATACTTTTAAAAGTATGTTTTTGTAGCTTTTGTTACAGAATTACAACGAAAATTTGAAAAATTTAGAAAATCTACACAGCGAAACCCCGGAAAAGAGGTGTCCGCGTATAGGCGACGCCGTTGCCGAATTTTAGAAACCAAAATGATCGATATATGTTAGAAAACAAAAGAGTTATTAATTTTTTAAAGAAATTTTTCTAAGTAAATATATAGGCGTCAATATATAAGTTTTGTGATAAATTCCAATAATATCTATCCGAAACAGTATATAATGGCTACTGGTGTAACAATAGAACGCTTAGGTACAAGTTCAAAGTCAATTTTAGCTAGAAAACTTTAGGTCGATTTTCAAAGATTCACTCCCTTAGGTAACCTCGGTATCGATTAAGTCGATTATTGAATGTGAAAATATAATCTCGGTACAATTTTTAATTTTCTACCGAACGGATTCTAACAAACGAGGTGTCGGGTGATAGGGCTAGACGAGCCCTATCCGAATATGTAATAATTTGGAAAAACAAACGAGGGGTTGCCAAATTATAAGCCGAAAACGTGTAAATTTAACAAAATTTTACACCGAAAACTATCTTTCACAGGTGATAGGTCTCCGACGGGACGCCGGAGGTGCTTCAAGCGGTGGTGGTATACAGGGGAGGTGTCAACGCAGCGATGGTGTAAGCTTCCAGCACCAAAACGACCAGGAACACAGGTAGGTATACTTTTAAAAGTATGTTTTTGTAGCTTTTGTTACAGAATTACAACGAAAATTTGAAAAATTTAGAAAATCTACACAGCGAAACCCCGGAAAAGAGGTGTCCGCGTATAGGCGACGCCGTTGCCGAATTTTAGAAACCAAAATGATCGATATATGTTAGAAAACAAAAGAGTTATTAATTTTTTAAAGAAATTTTTCTAAGTAAATATATAGGCGTCAATATATAAGTTTTGTGATAAATTCCAATAATATCTATCCGAAACAGTATATAATGGCTACTGGTGTAACAATAGAACGCTTAGGTACAAGTTCAAAGTCAATTTTAGCTAGAAAACTTTAGGTCGATTTTCAAAAATTCACTCCCTAAGGTAACCTCGGTATCGATTAAGTCGATTATTGAATGTGAAAATATAATCTCGGTACAATTTTTAATTTTCTACCGAACGGATTTTAACAAACGAGGTGTCGGGTGATAGGGCTAGACGAGCCCTATCCGAATATGTAATAATTTGGAAAAACAAACGAGGGGTTGCCAAATTATAAGCCGAAAACGTGTAAATTTAACAAAATTTTACACCGAAAACTATCTTTCACAGGTGATAGGTCTCCGACGGGACGCCGGAGGTGCTTCAAGCGGTGGTGGTATACAGGGGAGGTGTCAACGCAGCGATGGTGTAAGCTTCCAGCACCAAAACGACCAGGAACACAGGTAGGTATACTTTTAAAAGTATGTTTTTGTAGCTTTTGTTACAGAATTACAACGAAAATTTGAAAAATTTAGAAAATCTACACAGCGAAACCCCGGAAAAGAGGTGTCCGCGTATAGGCGACGCCGTTGCCGAATTTTAGAAACCAAAATGATCGATATATGTTAGAAAACAAAAGAGTTATTAATTTTTTAAAGAAATTTTTCTAAGTAAATATATAGGCGTCAATATATAAGTTTTGTGATAAATTCCAATAATATCTATCCGAAACAGTATATAATGGCTACTGGTGTAACAATAGAACGCTTAGGTACAAGTTCAAAGTCAATTTTAGCTAGAAAACTTTAGGTCGATTTTCAAAAATTCACTCCCTAAGGTAACCTCGGTATCGATTAAGTCGATTATTGAATGTGAAAATATAATCTCGGTACAATTTTTAATTTTCTACCGAACGGATTTTAACAAACGAGGTGTCGGGTGATAGGGCTAGACGAGCCCTATCCGAATATGTAATAATTTGGAAAAACAAACGAGGGGTTGCCAAATTATAAGCCGAAAACGTGTAAATTTAACAAAATTTTACACCGAAAACTATCTCCGAAAACTATCTTTCACAGGTGATAGGTCTCCGACGGGACGCCGGAGGTGCTTCAGGCGGTGGTGGTATGCAGGGGAGGTGTCAACGCAGCGATGGTGTAAGCTTCCAGCACCAAAACGACCAGGAACACAGGTAGGTATACTTTTAAAAGTATGTTTTTGTAGCTTTTGTTACAGAATTACAACGAAAATTTGAAAAATTTAGAAAATCTACACAGCGAAACCCCGGAAAAGAGGTGTCCGCGTATAGGCGACGCCGTTGCCGAATTTTAGAAACCAAAATGATCGATATATGTTAGAAAACAAAAGAGTTATTAATTTTTTAAAGAAATTTTTCTAAGTAAATATATAGGCGTCAATATAACTTTTGAAACAGGTTCAATAACTTTATCCAAAATATATAAGCTTGGTTAACAAATTCCCAAAATTACAATTTAAAAATCTACACTGAAACCAAAAGAGGTGTCCGTAAGGATTCCTTTCCCGATTTAGAAAAACTGATCGATTATGTTATAAAAAAATTAAATTCTCTTACATATTTTTAAAGTTTTCTAACGAACGTTTTTACAAATTTGATAGGCTAGACGGCCCATCCAATAGAAATTTTGAAAAAGGGTTATTAAG